CCAGGCTAACCTGCTGGTGATAAGAGACATGTGGCCCAGTCAGCCCTGACACTCCAATCAGTGTCAACCCTCTGGAAGAGAGCTGCCTAGCTGACCAGCAGCTGAACCCAGCAGACACCAGAAGAACCATCACCCAGCTGATCCCAGACCACACTGCCAACCAATTATTCTAAGCAACTGAGGTTTGGAGGGGCTTGTTACATAGCAAAGGATAACTGATACAGGCTTGTCCGCTCTCTCTGTGATGTGGTCTCTTTCTCCCCTCATTGTGACCCAATGACTAAAATCTTAAGCTCTGCCACTTTTTAGCTGCTATGACCACCAATGTGACATTCCTTCTCTGAGCCTCAGATTCTTCTGAAAACAGGGATGAGAATAATAGCACCTGTCACATGGAGTAGTTGTGAAGACAAAATGAGAAACAGCCCCAAGAGGTCCTGGTGGCCATTCGTGCTGGTTATGAAATGTGTCTGGCCAGGCGGGGGGCTCAGATGGGGCATTTGGGGCCCGGACTGTGCTTCCTCCTCCTCTCCCGCTGGGGTTTGGTAGGGTCAAGTGACCAGCTCCATCCAGTGAATTGTGTCAAGTCACAAGTTCTGGGTGGGCAGCATTTAATCATCCATGTGAAACCTTCCTGGGCTCTCTCCTGTGCACAGAAATCGGCATTAAGTTGGTGACTGCTCCACGATTATGATAAGCAGAACGCCCTGTGGACGGTGCTAGACATGGAAGGTCAAGGATAAATCAACCTTTTTTTTTTTTTTTTAAAGATTTTTGGATGTGGACCATTTTTAAAGTCTTTATTGAATTTGTTACAATATTGCTTCTGTTTTATGTTTTGGTTTTTTGGCTGCGAGGCATGTGGGATCTTAGTTCCCCGACCAGGGATTGAACCTGCACCCCCTGCACTGGAAGGCAAAGTCTTAACCACTGGACCACCAGGGAAGTCCCGTAAATCAACCTTTTGTGAATGGGTATTTCTTCAGCAAATACCACTCCTCTCCCTCCCCCTGGAGGGGGAGTATACTTCCCTGCTCCACTGATGTTGGCTTTGACCATATGATTTACTTTACTCCATGGAACGTTAGCACCCCCGACCTCAGCAGAGGCCTTTGGTGCACTTCGTTTTTGTGCCCCCGTGATCTGCCATGAGAAAGACATTAGCCAGGGAGCTGCGCCATGAAGGAGAACTTGAATCCCCCTCCCAAACTGGACCCAAACCCATCAAAGCACAGCCAGAAGCAGAGCTGTTCCAGCCACCTACAAACCCTTAGAAGAATGATTGTTGTTACAATCTCAGCTTGGGGATGGTTTGTTACACAAGCATTACTACAGCATGAATTGACTGATATAACTGTGTTGCTTTAAACCACTGAGCTTAGGGACTTGTTTGTTACTGTAGCATAATCGATTCTGTCCTGACTGATGCCAGGGTCTAGCACCTGCCAACTAATGGCCACTCAGTAAGTGGCAGCTATTAGGATGATAACTATTTGGCCAGACACGTTGTCTCCAAAACCAACATTGTCTTAAAGGTGCTAGGCACTGCACTAAGTGCTTTTTTAGTTTTCTTTCATTTGACTCTTAAGACAGCCCTTTGAGGTTATGACTATTAATATCCACAGTTTACAAACGTGAAAACTGAGGCAAAAGAGGGAGAGGTTAACCAGGAGAGGTGATCATGGACTCTGGAGTCTGAGCTTCCCTAGCTGTTTGACCCAAGCCAAGTGACACCACAACCTGTGCCTCAGTTTGTTCCTCTGTAAAATGGGGACAATACTTTCAACTTCACAGAGTTGTTGTGATTATGCAATGAGGTACCGCAGGAAAACACTTAGCATGGGGACCCAGCAGGGAGTAATCCCTTAACAAAAGGTAGGATCTTCCCTCTCTTCCTTCAAAGAGGGGGTTCCCAAAGGTTGAGACCCCTGCTTTTTGCATCCCACCTCCCTGAAATGCATCACATCACAAGGACTCAGGCTTGTTCTGCTAAGTTGTTTAATATATTGGCATATGGGAAGCTGTAGCTGAGAACAAATCAAGACCAAACGTGGCATATGCCTCGGTTCTTTACTTAGCCTTGCCAGAAGGCTGGGGGCCTGGAAGACAGTTGGCCTGGGTGATGGTGTAGATACGAGAGGCCGAGGGCACCAGGGTCCCAGGCTTGGTGTGGCAGGCATTCTCTGTAGCGCAGCCCCGAGTAGCAAATATGACACCTGTTGGGGGAGGGATTTCAGACTGGAGTCAGGACTTCCAACCCCTCCCTCCTCACGACCCGGGGTCATGCCCCTGCCACCTCCTCACCCAGTTCTCTGGACCCACTCTCTCCCCTAGAATCTGGAAATATGAGCCTCCAGTTCTGGCAGCCTCCCTGTCCCCTCCTCCAGAAATCTAGGTGCCCCTCACCAGTCTGCACTTTGCCAGCGTAGGTGATACAGTGGCTTTCCTGGCCAACACAGAGTACTTTCTTAGTTGAGCATGTTTCCTTGAAGGGGGTGATGCAGGTAGGGCACTGGAGGCCATTCTCCGTACGATTGTTCTCAGGAGCTGGGGAGGAGGGTGGAGTGTAAGGTGTAAGGGACGTTAAACCCTTTCCCAACCTCACAACAACCCTGGGGACACCGGTTGCTAATGGACACTGCATTTTACAGTCGAGGAACTGAGGCTCAGAGCATGGAAGATGCTTGCCAAAGGTTACAGCTCGGGTCAGTGGCGGGTGCTCACTGCAGGCTCTCAGGCGGGGCAGGAAGGGACTCCAGATGTGGGGCTGAGCTGGCACTTACCGGGCAGGGGATCGTGGTTGCAGACGTCGCTCTGGCAGCAGCGTGTGTTGGACACCATGTAGTTCTCAGGGTCCATGGTGGTGGAGACGAATCCTGAGCTGCAGGCGCTGGATTTCATGCACCCCTTATAGGTGTTCACCGACTGGTGGCCCTCTGCAGGATGGTGAGGGAGGGGAGGGCTCAGGGGCCCTGGCCTGGACCCTGGCTTCCAGGTCTCTCCCAACCTTACAGCTGCCCCAGCCCGCTGCTGTCTAGGGAGGTCTCTTCCAGCCCCCCAGAGTCATACCCCCTTATCTGCCTGGGGCATGGTCTGGACTGTTTATTAGGTCCGCTCCACCCCACCCCCTCCAGGCTTTGGTGGTCTCCTGCAGTTCCCATCGGCAAGCCCTGGTGCCTGCCTGATGGTCCCTTCCGCCCCACGCCACCCCACCGCCATCCTCTAAGGGTCACACCTGTAGTGGTCTTTTTCAGGCCACCTATGGCTATCTCCATGGCGGTGTGAAATGGTCTCTTCCAGCCTTTCGCCCTCCCCTGACCCTTGGAATCCCTTCCACCAAATGCTGGAATGCCACCCTCGCCCCCCCCCCCATGGCGGTGTGAAATGGTCTCTTCCAGCCTTTCGCCCTCCCCTGACCCTTGGAATCCCTTCCACCAAATGCTGGAATGCCCCCCTCGCCCCCCCCCCCACCCTCTAACACCCATATCCTTCTCTGTCTAACGTGGTCTCTTCCAGATTTCCCCAGTGTCACTCCCCGGACCTCCCACCGATGGTCTCTTGCTGCCCTCCTTGGCTACTCTCAGGTTTTGCCTGAAGTGGTCTCGTCCAGCCTCCACGGCCTTCCCCCTCCCCCTGCCCACAGTACGGTGGTCTCTTCCAACCCTAGGGTTTCCCCCTTTACCCCACAGAAAGGTGTTTTTCTTCCCCGACTTCCTCCTGCGGTCCCAGGGTCCCATCTCCCTCCCATATACTCCTGGGTGGCCTCTGCAAGACTTTCAGGTCCTTCCCCCACCTGCCCACTCTTGCTAGGTGAGTAGGGCAGCGTGCAATCTTCTAGCCCACTTACCTTACACACCCCCTCCGGTCGGAATGGTTCCTTCCTACACTCAACGTTGGCCTTACCTCGCGTCACATCCTTCTTTCTCCAGTCTCAGGCCGTGCCCCACCATCTTCCTTTAACTAAGGGTTTCTGGGTCTCTTCCAGCTTTGAATGAACACCCCGCCCCCCCGTGCTTTCTTCCTTTGCTCCCCTTCTCGCCCATCCTCCCTCAGGCCTGGGAGAGTCTCTTCCATTTAAGCCTTGCCTGTCCTCTCCCATTTTACTCATATGTCTCCCCATTGGCCGCAGCTCCACTTCTTTGTGATAATTTGCTCCATGATTCAGGATTATCTTCCCTCTCCTGTCTGTTCTTTTATATCTCTCCCTCTACCCCAATGTCATCTGTCCTCTTCTTGTCAGGAATGGTCTCTTCCAACCCTCATCCCTAGGGGATCCCTCCCACCCCAAATGGTCAACCTGGTCACATTCCTTCCAACCCAGCCCAGCCCCTTCCTTCTCCTCTACACGGCCCCCTCCACCTCTTGCATATTAGATTTTCCCCCTCTTGCAGTTTCTCTCTTCCCCCTTGTCCTTCCCTTCCCTAATCCCCTCCTGCGTAAGAAAGTCTCTATATCTGCCCCACCCCCACCCCATCAACTCTTTGGAGTCTAATTTTCAGAAATCCCCGACAACAGTGGTTTTCTGTCTTTCCATCGGATTCTCTTCCCTCCATCCACGTCAAGATTGCCTTTCCCTCTTTCCTGCCTGGTCACCTCTGGAAGGTTCCTCCCCGCGCGTGCTGGTATCTGCTACCCCGAAAGCACAGCCCCCTCCCCAGGATCTGACGCCACGCCCTGCGCTCTTACTTCTGTTGGTGTGAGCCACGATGACCACGCAGGAGTCCTGGTCGGGGTCACAAGTTTGCACATTTCCACTGCACGTGGGTCCGGGGCCTGTACACACCTCACAGCTTAGTGGGTACCCTGCAGTGTAGAGAGCAGGGCTCTAGTCAAGGGTGGTGTGGTCTGCGGACCAAGACTTCGGACGGAGTCCAGAGGGGGATGAGCGGGTGCGGTCTGAGGGAGGAGGGAAAGGTATCTCCCTGATAGTTCTTGGACGGGGCATTGGCGGCTGTCCAGGGAACTGTCCGAAGCTCCGGCAGAGACGCGGTGGTGCTCCAGCAAAGCTGCTTTCAGGGATGGGAAGCGACTCCACCAGGGAGCAAGTTTACCTAATTACTAGGCTGGGGACTTTGGACGCTAGGGTCCTCTGAGAAAGTTTGGGGACAGGGAGGGGTCCTGGTGAAGGTTTCCATGGACTTTTGTGAACTTTCAGGTCGAGCTGTTTCTCGGAAGTGAGATCGTCTTCCTTGTAGGTACCACGCGTAGGTCTTGTAGACCGTAGGAGCCCAGGCAGGGATACCTGAGCCTGGGATCTGCATCCCAGGTCAAGAAGGGAGAGCGTGGACCAGGAGGGCAAGCGCATGGACCCCTGGTACTGAGAGAGGAGGCAACTGGGGGCCCAGACACTGGGCAACTGCGTCCTGGGGAAGGTGGGGCTTGCCTGAATTCCTGCATCTAGGGGAGGACACCAGGGGTCTGAACTCCGTAGAATTCTGGGAGAAAGAAAATCTCTCCCCCGCCCCATCATTTTTTTTAAAAAAGATTTCCCTTTCTAATCATACTCTCATCTGATTTTCTAGAATTCAGACGTCTTTTTCTTTTTCTTTTTTTTTTTTGGCCGAGCTGCATGGCATGCGGAATCTTAGTTCCCCAACCAGGAGTCGAAACCCCGCCCCCTGCAGTGGAAGTGCAGAGTCTTAACCACTGGACCGCCAGGGAAGTCCCCAGATGGCTTATTTTGAGACCTTGCCTGGGGGACAGGGGATTCAGAGCCCATCAAATCCCCTTCTTTCTCAGGGATTCACACACACAAGTTTCTGAGCTATTCTTTCCTTGGGGTCCCAGTCTTTCCCTCCTTTACCCTCTGCCTTTGCCATGAATCTGAATTCCCAAGGCACCTCCTCCTTCCCCCTCCCCCCTGGAGGACCTTGCTGAATGCCCCTCTCATATAGTCCTCTTTCCAAAGGTCCCAGGATTCCAGGCCCCTAGTCACTTACCCAGACCCAGGAGGGTGCAGAGGAGCACGGAAGCCAGCAGGAAGGTCTGGGGTTTCGTGGAAAGCCTCATGATGGATGAGCGAGTGAAGCTGCAGTCCCAGGTCCCCAGCTCTTCTTATAGGAAGCTGAGGAGGGGTGCGTCTGGACCCACCCTACCTCTAGGGTGAGAAAGAAGTGACGTAAGATCTGGGGGCAGGTCTCTGTAGCTCTGGGGTGGGGAGGCAGAACCAGAATCCGAATGCGACATGGGCATCTTGTGCCCAGCCCCCTCCTCCACGGGGACCCCAGGAGTCTGGACTTCCAGCCCTCTCTTCCATCAGGACCCAGAAGGTCACTTCCCTATTTTCTCACATTCCCACCTCCGCCCCCTTTTCTTTTTTTTCTGACCTGAGGCCCAAGATCAGAATCTCAGAATCGGGTCATTTGATTCCCTGCGGGGTAGAGCGGCTGCTAGGACTGAGATACCCTTCTTTCTCTTCCCAAGGAGGTGCCCAGCGTGGGTGGGGCCCTACCTGGGAGCGTCCAGCATGTCCAGGCTTGTTCTGTAGGGGCACGCTTCGCTCATACTCACTTTTCCATGTTTGGGCTGCCTCCAGCTCCGACCCCACCCCAAGATGCCCTTCTGGGTCTCTCGGGGACTGAACAGACGGGTGCTTGTCACCGGGCAGGGGTGGGCGTGGTACGAGACAGATGCCCATAGGTCACATTGGAAAACTGAGGCATGGTTGGAAGCACCCAAGGCTGGATGTGTGTTTGGGCACATGCACTGTGTTTTATTTAGGTTCTTTACCCACTCTCTGCCTCAGGCATAAGCTTGAGAGATCAGAGATTGTGTGTGTGTGTGTGTGCGCGCGCGCGCGCGCGTGCGTGCGTGTGTGTGTGTGTGTGTGTTGGTGGCGGGCATGGGGAGGGTAGCCAGCAACCGGTGGAGGGGATCCTGTTGCGGTAGGCTCCAGGCTCCCTGCAAAAATCCACTCAGATTTGCTGGCCTCTTGCTTTCCAGGCTTCAGTTGGGGTGGTGAGGATGGCGAATTTCTTCTGGGGACCAGTCCTGGAGGCCACGCCGGTTGCTAGGCGCCCAGAAGACGTAGTGTGAAAGTCACCGGGAGGAGGGGCTAGAGAGCGGTTTGGCCAGAGGGAGGCGGGAAAAGCTCGTTACTAGGCAACTCAGCCCCTCTCGCCTCGCTCGGGAGAGACGCACTGGGCTTGCGCAGTGTTGACGCGACCTCCGGCGCGCCGCTGTTTGAAAGGCCCGAGCCTCGTGCGCCTGCGCAGTTAAGCCCGCGCAGGGCGCCCCAGCTGTCTGCACCCTAAACTCAGACTCTCCAGCATCTTCTTGGTCAGGCGAAGCCCACGACGTTGACATGCCGGAGATCCGCCTCCGCCATGTGGTATCCTGCAGTAGCCAGGACTCGGTGAGGGACTGGCGTGGAGGAGGTTGGAAGAAATAAAGGAATTCTTGAGGGGGATCTAGGAGAACTTTTGGAGTCTAAAAGGGGTTGAACAATAATCAGTTTCCGGGCTGCGAAGAGAAAAGAACTTTATTTGGCGTGAGAGAGACACAGATTTGCGTAACACTGAAAGA